ATGCGCCTTTTTAAATGCCTGTACATGGGACACTTCATAGTTTTCCTCGCCATAAACCTGTTCTGCTGTTTGGCTGTTCTCAGAGCTCTGAAGAAGCCCGGACCTGGAGACGGAGGAAGACACAGAGATAAAGAAAACCACCTAAAAAGGAAAGCATTTTACCTCATTCTAATAACTACTGTGACATTAGTAATCGCTTATGTCCCCAGTTCAATCACAGCATTACAATATATTCTATCAATACCTGCAAGCCGTGTGCTAGAATCACTGAGTCTTACATGTTTCTTTCTGGCTGGTTTTGTGCAACCTCTTCTCTTCATTCACAGAGTTGGCAAACTGCCTTTCTGTAGGTCTCCATAGCTGATCTAACCCTTTCCATTGATAACTCATATTTTAAAGAAATAAAGAATTACATAGCATGTTGATTGTGTGTGTATCTGAATAAAAACAATTGCCCTTTGCTCTGATTTTCATAAAACTGCCATGTCAGTCTTCTCTGTATGATATTAATCTCTAGCCTCTTATGAAAATGTGTTGATATGATGTGTCATAGTTTGTGTAGGATATTTTTAAATGTATGAGTCATTGCATCATAAATAAAAGTTAAGGCCCATTCACACCAAAAACAGTAACTATAACAATAACGATATAGACACCGCAGTTCATTTGTCAAAATCTTTTCTGCTTGATTACTTAGCAAACACTGCGTGCCATTGCCAAGGGGTCTGAGGAAAATTTAAAATGAGGAAAAAAAATAAAGTTAACATTTACATTCTGCTTTCAAAAGAACACTTGCGATTATTCACAATCCTAGACTAACATGGATTCTGCATTTGAAACATTTGAAAACCACTGCTTTAAGATGAAAAAATGCATGAATAATAATGGACGAAATTAATATTTAGTTGTAAACAAATCCGCAAAAAAAAAAAAAAACTATCTTTATAAAGATCAACACCTGCAGGTTCAGTTTGGAAAATTGGAAAGATTTTTTAACCAAAGTTTTAAAATGTATGTCTTGTTTTATGTCATAATGATATATTATGTAACATGTTGACATTTTTTGTATTTTAGCATGTGGTAATTTATATAGAATAGGTCTCATTTTACTCTTTAGTAACGGCAATATACTTTAATGTAAACAAAGAACCTCAAAGAAAATTTAAAATAAATTGTATTTAAAAAAATAAAAATACATAATGTTAATAAATGATAATAATAATAATAATAATAAAGTTTGAGAGAAAATAAATACGTAACACTTTTGCTCTTTTCATTTAAATCAAATAGAACTGCAAAAGAGTGATGGATGGGTAATGATTGTTAAATTAATTGTTTGTTTTTCCCAATAAAAACAATTACCTGGTACTTCATTTGTTTTCCATTCCAGATGGTATGTATGAAAATGTATCGGTGTGCATTTGTCCAAAAAAAAAAAAAAACTGAAACACTGGCACTGGAAAGAGCCAATGGGACAAATCACCAAATTGCCTACTCGTATCTATTTGGCGTGACACGCTTTTCAATTTCTCTGAAGCTCTGAACACATCCCAACTAAATACTACACCAACATCACAACACAAAACAGATTACCGGTATTACAAATCTAATCTAAGGATTTTTTTTCCATCAGTAATAGTCTCAACTGGTTTAATTAGTCTTCTCGGTAGGGCTTGTCTAAATCCTGAAGCCTGTGTAATTAAATCCCATCCCGCTGTTCTTCCACACAGCTCTGGAGAACATGAAGACGCGCCAGCGGTGAGACGTGCGACGTGAGCGGACGGTGAGTGTCCCCAATAGGTTCCGAGACCTAAATTCTGTACACGTTTTCAGTTTAACCCTCAATCTGTCCTTGGGGTCAATGTGACCCCAATCAACTTTTCCTTAGTTAAAAAAAATGGTTCCCTTCATCTCAGCGGAATAAGATTTTGTGACTTTTCTACATTATCTATCTATATTCACATTAAAAAATGGGATGGATTCGGTTGTTCTGAAGGTATGTAAAAAAAAAATGTTTACAAATCTTGTCTTTGGGGTCAATATGACCCCACATTGAAATGAATGGGAAATGCGAAAAAAAATCGATATATTTTTTTCATTTGTCAAAAAAAACCAACCAATAAATCCGGCATAAACCTGAAGGTTTTCACACTGAAATGAAGGCCTGGTACTAGAGTAGAAAAGACATGCTCACACACACACACACACACACAAACAAACAAACAGAGAGCATTTGTATAGAATTTGGCAAATAAAATCAGCCACAAATGCAGAACAAATATATAAAGAGGTGAGACCTAATGCACACACGCACACACACACACATACCACACAGACACACACACACACACACACTCTCTCTCTCTCTCACACTGCGCGTACAACAGCGCATGCGTGAGGTGAATGTTGAGACAGAGTGCAAGTCAAGTAGGTGGTACTGCACATGTGTCGTGAGCACGCCCGTGCACGCGGCTGTGCGCGGGACGGAACGGAGCGCGGAAAGTGAAGTATACCCGGGCCTTAAGAGTGTGATGTTTTAATGTGCTGTTAAAGTGAAACAACAATAATCTGGGGCCATCGCCGATCTTTGACAGCTAAGGGGTTAAGGTCTCAGGTGGTAACCACTTATAATGACCCTGTTTTTGCTGATGACATACAAATTTATGTCCTCATTTGTCACAAAAACGCGCGCACACACACACAGGTATGACTGCCACAGAAAGCATTTGTATAGAATTTGGCAAATATAATCAGCCCTAAATGCAGAACAAAAATATAAAGTGGCGAGACCTAATGCACGCACACACACTCTTACACACTCTCTCTCTCTCTCTCTCTCTCTCTCTCTCTCTCTCTCTATCACACACACATACACACACACAGGTATGATTGCCACAGAATGTGATTGTACATTTTTTTATTGTTATTTGATGTTCACTCTTCACTCCTGTTGATTTCTGCATATTGCTGTTGGCTTTATTTACATATTATTTATTTAATTTCTTCTACATTCTAAAGTTAATTATTGTTTTTTTACACTTGGTTCATTACCATAAAATCAATAATATGCAACTACAAACTGACTCTAAGTCTTGTCCTTTAGGTGTGTCTTATGTGGCATTTTTCTGTCAAATTTCTGTGGTATTTTTGTAAAAACAGACATTTCAAAATGCATCAAAAACTACAAAAAAAGTCTACTGTTTGAAATAATATTTATTTTAAATGTCTTTTCTAATGTTTATATACATAAATTCACAAAATGTATCACAAAAGTTGTGATGAGAGCAGTTGGCCACATCCAGTAAAATGAATGGCTCTCTATGGCCCTCTGCTGGTCAAAACAATTTATTTCCTAAACTGTAATAAGTTTAGGTTTATCTCTAACCGACAGATGGCAGAATTCTACAACTAACACCTAGATCATCAATATCCAGAAACAACTTAAATTAAATTTAAATCATCATTTAAGTGATTTTTTCATAAAAAAAAAAATTATATTTCACATGCAAGCTAATGGTGTAGTTGCGGAATTCTGTGGTAAATATGAACAAAAGTACTTCATATCTCCCAAAACACAGCATTAATGTATAGACGAGATGTAAACAAAAATGAAAATCAAAAATGATATATTATTTGTATGATTCAAAATGTATATATTTTTTACAATTGCTCTTTCAATTTTGGGGTCATATTGACCCCAAAGACCATAAGTGTAAACATTAAACGAGGACCATTTGAGGGTTAAGTCATGTGAATGAAACTACAGCTGTTTGTAAAAACCCGCGCACATGTGTGTCAATTAATTAGAGCGCAAGAAATTAGATCAGGAACTATGCGATCTAAATAAAACAGTCCTTTACATGTACTGGGAAAAATAAGTTACTTTTTTCTATCTTTGACCAACTAACAATTGTTTTTGTTTTTCCGCATATAGTGAAGATGAACACCTCCTGCTGTGAGATCGCCTCCACAGATGGATCAGATTATTTCGATGACTTCAATAACACTGCACTGGACATTTATTTTCACGAATACTCAGTATATGCCATAAGCATACTGTTGGGTTTTCCTACTAACTTCTTTGTGATATGGCTTATGGTAAGAGGAACAGGGAATGGACTTGCAGCAGAGTTCTTCAGTCTGAACATCTCTGTCTCTGAGATCATCCTCTGTTTGCACTCTCATTTGTCTTCTCAAGTATACATTTGAAATTTCCTCCATAGTGTGGTCTATTCTTACAGGAGTAATCATGACTGGTCGTCCTTTGTTTCAGTGTCTGATCTGTGTTGAGCGTTACCTGGCAGTGGTTCATCCTGTAACCTTTCTGAAGTACAAACCTCTCAGATATAGAGTGATCTGCTCTGTTATTGCCTGGGTGGCATCTTTTGGTGCCTTTGTAGTTCATTTTATAAGCTGGTGGTTTTTCTTGATGGATTTTTACTTGTATTACATGCTGGCACAGCAGATCCTCTTGCTCTCCAGCCAGTTGTTTTGTCTTGTGGCTGTTCTCAGAGCTCTGAAGCAGTCAGGACCAGGAGAGAGAGGGAGAGAGAGAGAGGAGGAAAACTACCTTTCATCAAGTGTAAATAGTTTAACTTTATTTGAGCCCTAGTCGATAGCGGTCTTCCACTTTCCAACTAAAAGATATATGAGTGTTTCTTTAGTACGGACACTGTTCTGTCAGAGCTCGATTTTGATTAAAGCTAGTAGAAACTTAACATAAAACTTTATTATTCATTTTTACCATGCTTTTATAATGTTCAAATTAACGGCCTTTTAGGTATAGATTTTGTTGAATCTTTAACTGTATATAATTATATTTTTAAAACTATGATATGAATAATCTAAACAAAGAGTGAAACAAACATTGACATGATCTTCATAGTTAGATGAGCTGCAAGACTTACCTATATTGTGAATAATTTTATCTTTTGGTTTGAACATTTTATTAGAAATAAAAAGAGAAAATAATCAAATGGATGAAGTACCTGCAGTATTGATCTGACAGTTTTGTACATCAATTGATTAACCCATGTATCTTACAGAACACTGAATGAAAAGTATTTGCATATAAGAGCTAACATATCAATACATTTCTGCCTCGCAAACCTTATCACTGACTTGCTGCCAGTCATTTAAAAATAAAATGTATTTTTCTTCTCTGGCACGTGAAGGTAAAAATCCTTGGTCAGTCTGGAGGCAAAGCACGGCATTTGTCTCTTTCTATGTGTATCCGGGTCTGTGGTGTAAGACTGGAAGTGATTGGCCACACGATGGTTTACTCTTGTCAGAATCTGAATAATCTCTAGATGACAGTCCTTCAACATCTCGCAAAGTTCATGGATAAATACAGAGCCTTTTTCTGGATTTCTCCAAGAGTAGTACCCTGTTGAGAAATAAATGTGTTTTTAAATACACGAGTGCATGTGGAGAGGGTATACAAATCAATAAATCCACCTATGCTGCAACTATGTCAGTGCAATGCAAACCTTCCACTGTGGAATAACAGCAGAGGAAATCTGCCTCGGGAACGTCAGATATCCCAGAAAATTCCCCTGGTGCTTCTACACTGTCTGCCTCAACACCAGGGTCATATTCCAGCCCCCTGCAGGCCTGAATATGTAATCAAAACAACCACAAATAGTCAAACAATAGACAAAATGTTATGGAAATGCTCCATGCTTTTTGCAGGTGACAGCTACCTGTAGGAAGAAGAGTTTTGGCTTGTCCCGAAGACTAGGGCAGAGGTCAGAGGTCATGAGAGAGGTCAGAGTTTTGACAGGCATCCAGCGCTCATCCGATCCAAGGATTGTTCCTTCCTCTCCATGGCTCATCAGTACACACACAAAGCAGGAATTGTCTGTGTGGTTCTCCTTAGATACTGAGGCACAAACACCATGTTTATAAGTTCCTACAGGCACAATAACACATCCAGAATACTGGAAATGACATCATACTGTACCTTTCCTCAGTGCACCAACCATTTCATTAGCTGACAGGTTCTTCTCCACCTGTAGATGAAAACCCAGGGACTTGAACGCGTTCGACAGGAAGTTTTCATCTACTGAACAGCCCTTTCTACACAAATGTGGTGAGCCTGGAAAAAAAAGAGAAGCAACTAGGGAATGGATATGTAAGGAGTTGATCATTTCTGGTTTTGGTTCCAATTCCACTTAACAATTCCATTGATGGTCCAATAGAACTATTGAGGAAGTTGAAAATACTGAAAAGAATGGCTTTCAATTCAATTAATGATTCAAATGTTAATATAATGACTGACAGAATCAGTGAGTGCACGATTCATTAGACTGATTTAAACCCAATAACTGATTTGAGTGTTTTTTTTTCTTTTGACTGAAAAACAATCATTTAACCATTTCGACTCATCGCTACTTATTCATTTCAAGTAACCAAGTAAAAGTGGATGTAATGCTACAGTCAGACATTCATTATCACAAAATAAACCCTGACAGCGTGATCAGGAAAATACTAGAGGGTTATTTTTCAGGAACGGATACTAGGAGGAATGCCACAAAACAAGACTTGTCTTACATGATAAAAATCACATGAATAAGAACTCAAGACTGTAAGCAGATGTGGTATAAGAGCTCAAAACAGAAAAGCTGGAGTCAGCAAGAATCAAGGTTAGGGTTAACACTTAGCGAAGTTAAAATTCAGAATAGAGTTACAGTAGCATTAGGTTCAATATTAGAGTTATTTTAGCCATTCAAAAGGGTAGATATGTAGCAAAGAACAGTTCCAAATACTGGAAGCAGGTCAGAGACAACTTCAACCTGGCTAATACAGGCTAATACTCACAGAAGTGCTCATTACTGATGATTAGACATTTGCCCATGTTTTTATGCTTCTTATAAGGCTCAAACGCACAGGGCATCTTGATAGCACTGTGAACACAACATGACAGTTAAATCACCTTAACAGAAGTTGAGAAATGTATTTAAGCATGAAGCTTGACTTCAGCCGGGGTCTTACCTGTGATCTTCAGAACCTTGTGAACTCATCCTGAGACTTGATTCGCACCACAGAGTCTTGCGCAAGAAAGTCAAGCTTCTTACTATTTTATTTCTCTCATTCTAAATTTCCCTCTCCTTTTGCTTTCATTTTACTGTGAAGGATTTTAAAGTCCTCTACCTCACGGAGGCGTTACTACCGGCGGCAGAGCAGGCGGAGCAGGATCCGTAACTTTATATGGTTTTCACATTCGCACTCAATCTGTTATTAAATGACATGGAAAAGTGCATACACTGTATTTCAATTCAGTATATTTAATTGTTTTCACCCTATGTGTCTCATTTATGGTGGCACGTTGATGTTACATTTTTTGCATATTCAAATTTCGCTTGACAAACAGGAGGGTTTTATCCACCTCCTTTTTCCAAGAGGGTCTAGCTGCAGCCTTGCACTTGCACTCTCAGACTTGCATTCTCAGGCTTGCACTCTCAGACACTTGCGCTTCCGCTAGGCGACGTCACTTGCAGTCTTTTATTTTTTTATTTTGTTCTATTTATTGATTACTTTTTGTTTGAATCGCTCAACATTTTACAACAGTAGCCAGGTGGTGAAGACAAGAAAAAAGAAACTAAATTACAATGTAGAATGCAAGTGCGAGGCTGCAGCCAGACCCTTCTCCCTTTTTCTTCTTATATGGCGCTATGAGGAAACCAACTGCGCGTGTCGCAATTTGAACTGAGACAAGAGAGTCCAGTGTACAGTGTCTGTGAGTCATCAGTTAAATTTAGTCATCATGTTCCTCAAATAATTGCTGTTTTGTGGTCTCGGAAGACTGGAAATAGAGAAAATTGAACGTATGAACTATAGTAGCTACTTTCTGGATCTTAACAGCAGTGACATAACTAACGTCAGTTGCTTTGTGGCTCTTGGACGTGAATCATCTAAATCCAGCTCTGTCATTAGATTCATAGTTTGATTAAATGTCTAAAGTTACAGTTTTACAACCTCACTTCATCAGCTGCTTTATATTTATAGATTATCAATCCCATCAATTATTTACAATGGCCTACAGTTAATCTAAAACATACCAAAATGACTAATTTCGAACAATGCATCAAACTGTTTTCATTTTCTAAATTAAATGTAAATTGTCTGTGACTCAAATGTCACTTCCGATCTTTTAAAGATCATGGGTTATTACAACTAGGCTACCTATATTATATAGCAATATTATGCTTCATTAATTATTAGGCTATACAACTGTAGGCCTATATTTAGGAGACAATCTTATGACTATAAACATGACTATAAACTATAAACATTTTTATGACATCATATTCACACACTGTACAGTTTCAAAAAGCTTTATAAGTTATACACAATTACTGTGATGTTCTAAAACTTACATCAAAACAGAATATTGCTGTATACTTCCCTCTGCTGGGAATTTACGGTAACTTCTCCAAAGGCCACTATTCTGAAGAAAGGAAACAAATTATGCAGATATATATTGATACATTGACCATATAGTCACTTTAATGTCTTTTATATTTATCTCAACGTGACACTATAAACATATTACTTGTAAGCACACAAAATAGATTGTAATGATTGTTAATGATTTTAATCTTGAAATCATGAGTGTTCCTTAATTCATTCCAAATATAACTTGCTGTAGGAAAACAACATGCTCTGTAATTACTACACTGCATTAAAAAATATATATACATTAATACTGTATAGATGTAATCTGTATAAAGAGTTTCATGTCATTACATGTGACAGTGGTGGTCTGTGAGCTGTCAAAAAGATTTGCGACTCATAATCCAATCACACTCATTGTTCTGTACTAAGCCTTGCTTGTGGTTACAAGAGTGGTGTGCAATGCATGTGCTGTTGTAATGCAGACAGCTACAGATTACTGTTTATTAGTGCACTTAGGGTTACGTCTTGGGGGGTCTTACAGCAATGAGGGTGCACTCTTTTGTTCCAGCCATATGTGCCGGTTTTGAAGTCCCAATGGTCGTTTAGAGGTTGTTGATTAGTTTTCTGGTGGTGAATGTAACTCATTGTAATTTCAGTGCATCTTAATCTTATTACAGTTCCATATGGAGACGCATATCCTGAGCTCATCATGAGTATCCCAAATTAAACAAATTAATTGCATTTTTCTGTTTAGGTTACTGCATCATTTACATAGGGTGTCAACTTAACAAACACATCAGCAAACATCTCTAAATAGCGATGAAGCATGGAAAATATTATATCACAGAATGTTAAATGTCTTTTTTTTTTTTATTATATAGGTAACATTAATTTTTCTGACATATGTTTGACTTGTAGTACATATATGTTGACAAAAACCCCAATGTAAACATTACACAGCCAGACTCAATGACAAAGCATGATGCAACAAGCTACAATCCTGTTTTCTCAAACCTGCCTAACATAAAGATCCAATTTGCTGAGCCACTTAAATGCCCACATCCAGTATAGCTGGTAACCTATCAGATACTTGACCATTTTATCCACTTAAATCAGCACACATCAGGATTACATCATCCACCAGTTCACTTTATATTTGGGGAACCAAAGACGTTGTTACATTTCATTTTGTTGAAAAACTGTATTTTGGGCTTTTGCCACTTTTATCAACTGTACTGCTAAAAAATGACAGGAAACAATGGGGAGACGGGTGGTGATCAAGGAATGATTTGATCTCGGGTCACGTACGGTCGTACACAGTCCGCGAGATCACGTCGCCAACACTAATGGTTTTAGATTTAAAATGTACTCAAATGTATCTACAGTTCTAACACGATTTAGGCTTTAGAGCTGAAAGCCATGCTGTAAAGATCAGAATGCTGTAGATAAACGCAGGTATCTCATTAGTATCTCACAAGTATAGCACTGGATATCAATGGGAACACAGTGGTTTGGATACAAGGATAGCCATACAGTCCAAGAACCACTAAAGCACATCTTAGAGTATTGAGTTAAAGTAATCATTCTGGCAAAAATAAACGCTCTGTCATCATTAACTCACCTCATGTCCTTCCAAACTTGTAAGACTTACTTTTTTCCATTCATAAGTCTTTCTTCCATTCTTCCATATAATGGGGACTCCAAAGAGGACAAAACAACAATATATCATAAAATATTCATATAAAATGTGTTCTTTTGTACAAGTTTTAAGATATCATAAGTGTAGAGTATATTAAAGAGTCAGAGTTGAGATGCTAAATCAGTATGAGACTAAATGTGTTTGCATTGGCACCGTTTAACTTTTATTAGTTGTCTTGACAATCTTCTCGTAGCACAGAGATTATGTTGTAAGCTTGTAAAGCTACATTTAGGCTTTGTAAATGACAGCTTTAAGACATGCTAGATGTACGTGAATGAATGTGAGAAACTTCTGTTCATATCTCAAGGCCAGAATTGACACACTGTCACAAGCTCGAAAGTCAGCATCCGGTCAAATGTGCACAAACATTTAGAGATAGGACACTTCATGCTATTCCTGGATCTGAGAACAAAACAGTCTGAAAATTTCCTCTGATAAACAAAATGTGTGATGAGTCAGAAATACATGAAATGGGAGTGCTTTTTGTAATCGGTAAATGTTGTAGGATGAACCTTCCAAGAGCTTGTGCAGACACACTCATACATTTAGATCACATTACATGAAAATAAGCATTTTATTTAGTACCATATTTATTTAGTAGGCATTACATTAGGGTCATTATTTTTATATTGTGAAAATGATTAACTGTGCATTATGTTCACGTATTTAATGATTGCTTTATTTTAAATGACTGCACTGAATTTTTCAAAACTAACACTTAACATGAGAAGCTTTTGTTTCAAAACCTTAAAAAAATTCTCAGCACACACCAATAACATCTTACATCACAGTGACTGGCAGTAACACAACAGGAGTAACAACAGAAAATGAACCCAAACAACACCATGCTAATATTTGGGCTTTCTCTGTGTCTGTCTGTCTGTGTGTGTGTGTGTGGGTGTGTGTGTGTGTGTCTGTGTGTGAGTGTGTGTCTGTGTCTGTGTCTGTGTGTGTGTGTGTGTGTTTTATGAGGACACAAATGTGTATAATGACATGGGTACTACAACGTAAACATGG